AAAATCGTTTTACAATATGCAAATTATACTGAATATGGACAACTTGTATGTAATTCGGTCAGTCAGCTTGGCGAGCCTACAAACAAAACTGGTCGAAAACTAGCCGCTAAAACACAATGACAAGCGGTTCAATAATATTTACAATTAATAGTTTTAAATGAATAATAATGTAAGTGTATTTATCTTTTATTAATTCGGTGAGTAAGAGAATTTATGTTGCCAAACCAGTATTTTATTGTTTACTCTTATTTTGTTAATTTTATGGTTGTGTGCACAAACCATAGTTAAGTTTTGCTGGCCCATTGTCAACATTTATTTATATTTAATATTTATTTGGAATTGAGTTTTTATTAAACGTTTCATTTTACCATTTAAAACGTATAATATAAACATTTGTTGAAAAAATGTGTTAGCCTACAAATCTTAACTATCATTTATGCATATAGCTATAAACTGGTTAGAGTGCGTTTTCATTTTGTTGTAGGTTGCTTACATTGCTTATTTTGTCTTTGCTTTTTTCACCTTTACTGTCTAGGAGTCAGATATGCGTTTGTTACAATGGGTATGAACCAATATTTGTAAATGAGGGTTACATATGTGAAAAAGGATACAGGATATACCCTTGCAACGCGGTGGAAGGACCAAAATGCGTTTGCAGCGGTAAACAATCAAATATTCTGAGAGACGATACAGGAGTACACTGTGTGTACTACAAAAAAGGCGCCGAAATCAAACGCTGGCCCTGCGAAAACACAAAAGACTGGGAGGACTTCAAAAAAACAGTTACTGTCCACAAAGTACAACTAAACGACAATAATAAATAATAATAATTTTAAACTTTATATTCTTGTGTTATTAATGAGGTTAGTAGCATGACAGACTCTCTTCTCGCGGCGAGCTGTAAAAATTTTAAAGACTATTAGGTACAAGTAACGTTTTTAAATGAAACTGTTACGGACCAGTCACTGGATGTCAACTGCACAGTGTCTTCGAGCCGGTTGTATTCAATTAATGTGCCCTAAGTGCGCTTAGTTTTATGTGAAATAAAATGTTGTAAGTAATAATTATGTATTTAAAAAATACAACCTTTTCATAGATTTCACTTATGTATATATTTTTTTTGTACTAGAATAAAATGTACTGTATCCTAAAAAAAACTTAAGGTAGGTAATGTATATGTAATATATTTTTTTGCATTTTCTTAATATAATAATTATACATAATTAGAATTAAAACGTGCAAAATTAATAAAACTGATCAAAATTAATAACAAATATCCATAAATATGAATAATTGTTATTAAGTAAAGTTAATGAATTAATTAATAAATATTAAAAAAAATATTGTTTTAAACAATTTTTAATTTGAAAATTATACAAGGTTTTACAAATGGGACATCACGGAGGTTTTAAACCGGAAAAATTGGACAAATACGGGTTTTCCGTTTTTTTTCAGGCCTTGGAAAAATTGGCTTTTTGGGAAAAATTGAATATTTTTTAACATTATTTTAATCAACAAATAGTCCTTTATTACAAAAAAAAAACAAATAAAACTAAACCTTAAATTAAATTTAATTGATTTAAGAAAATAAACGTAAACGTTAAATATACTGTCAGTTGGGTCTTTTTTGCAAAAAGAATTGTACTAAAAATATCCAATTAAATTAAATTAAGTTAATTTATAAAATGATAATTTTAAAAATCGATGTGTCAAATAAAACGATAGTTATGTTACACGCAGTTTCTTGTTCGGGACCCTTTGGTGACTTAAAAATGATATTTACCAAAATCCTAGCTGCTCCTCTTTTCGAATTTTTTTGAAAATTCATGTTTTTTTTTAAATTTTGTTTATTTCAAAGTCTACCTTTTGTTTATTTCAAGTCTACCTTTGACATTTGTAGACCGATTTTTATAAAATTAGAGTATATTATTGGGGAGACTTAGAGAATACTTTTTATTACTGTTCACATCATTTGATATATACAGGGTGAGCCAAAAATCGCTTATTTTTAATAAAGCAAAAGCGTAAATTCATGATTTTGGCATAACACGCCCATTGCCCATTTTTTTTAGATATTTATACGTTTATCAGGTTACAAAATGGTATTCTTATTAACCTTTTATAAAAAAATAGATATTAATAAAATTAAATAAAATACCGCTTAGAGAATATTTAAAATGTGCACACCATGGTTTAATTTAGGCTTTTTAGTAGTTTTCAATTTTGAACGAAAAACTGGTTGAAGTTTCTTGATCTGCACTCTTTGGAGATTTAAAAACGATATTTACCTAAATTCTAACTGTTGTTTTAAATTTGTTAAAAAATCTTTTTTTTTTTTAATTTTTGTTTATCGCAAAGTCTACCTTTGCCAGAGTACACATTTGTACACCGATTTTTATTGATTGCAGTTTCTTGTTCGGGACCCTTTCGTAACTTTAAAATGATATTTACAAAAATCCTAGGTGCTCCTCTTTTCGAAATTTTTTGAAAATTCATTACTTTTTTTTTAAATTTTTGTTTATCTTAATGTCTACCTTTGACAGAGTACACATTTGTACACCGATTTTTATAACATTGGAGTATATTGTTAACGAGACTTGTAAAATACTGTTTTCATACTGAGCAAATCATTAGATTTATACAGGGTTAGCCAAAAATCCCTTTTTTATATAGTAAAAAGCATAATACACAAAAAAGATTTATCTCCAAAAAATGTTATTTTATTTAATTTTATTCAAAATTAATTTTTCTTATAAAGTCTTAATAAGAATCCCATTTTGTAGCCTGATAAACATAAAAATATCTAAAAAAACATGGGTGGGTATATATCTTTTTTGCGTGTTATGCCAAAATCATGGTTACGCTTTTGCTTTATTAAAAGAAGCGATTTTTGGCTAACCCTGTACACGGAGAGAAAAATTTTGCTAAAATAACTATCCAAAGTATTGTTAAATGGCGTATCGTAAATTTAGTCAACTGTTTTATTAAACTGAGGATTTGTATGGCTAAATTAGCTATACAGATCCTCAGTTTAATAAAACATTTGACTAAATTCACGATACGTCATTTAACAATACTTTGGATAGTTATTTTGGCAACATTTTTCTCTCCGTGTATATATTAAATTATGTGCACAGTATAAAAAAGTATTCTCAAAATCTCCTTAACAATATACTCCTATATTATAAAAATCGGTGTACAAATGTGTACTCTGTCAAAAGTAGACTTTAAGATAAACAAAAATTTAAAAAAAAATCATGAATTTTCAAAAAATTTCGAAAAGAGGAGCAGCTAGGATTTTGGTAAATATCATTTTTAAGTCACCGAAGGATCCCGAACAGGAAACTGCAATCAGTTTTTGGCGGCATTTTTATGTGACTTAAACTTCGTTCAGGCACACCGTGGTTAATATAGCACCGAATATGGTTTTTTGCGACCCGGTAGAATATTCAACTGAAATAAAATAACATCAGACTTATAACGAAAATATTTAACCGAATTTTATAAGAAATATTTACACAATAATTTTTCATTTTAGTTACGAAGAAAAATAATTTGTACAGTGCCAATCATTTGAAAGTGCACGACTCTTATGCCGAATTTGCGTATAATTGAGTTGTGTGATACTGACTTTAAAATTTAAGGTTAAAGTGAAGTGTCATCGTGACAGGTGGTTAAAAAAATATTTCGCATATTATTGATAGCTCTCATGACCAGATAATTTTTTATGCTTGCTACAACCAACCATTTTCCAGAAGGGCAGTAGCTCGCATTTTTTTGGGTTCAAATAACAGCGGCATTTTCAATTAATAAATAAATTTCAAATTAACATTTGACACATAAATATGACACATAAGAGATCGTATTACACTAGTGAAAAAAATCGTGCACTTTCAAATGATTGCCACTGTACAGCACCTTCACTGATAAATAAATATACGTCTAATGAAAAAATATAAATAAATATACGTCTAAGGTAAAAAAATATTTGATCTTCTATCAGCTTTTTAACAGAATTAAACATTACATGAGTCTTTAAGGCAATAACGTATTTTATGTACCAACATAATGGGATCTGGGATAAAAAACTATTATTTTTGTTCATTTATGTGTTAAGCTTTTTAATACTGTGTTTTTTTATAAAATAGGACGAAATTAATATGGCTCTGTTTTTTTTATAAATTTTACTACTGAGTGTCCTTTACAATGTACTAAGAGTTTATCTGTCATTTTATTTACAACCTGTATACAGGTTTTTTTCTATACATATTTTCTATTAAATAAAATAATTTTAATTTTATTATTAAATTTGCCGATGCTTTTTCTATTTCTTTCAAGAATATATTTTTTAACGTTGCGTACTTATTTTTTAGAAAGATTTTAGGGGGTGTCCAAATTAAATGAAATCATTCTGTGCAAAATATTTATTTTTATTAAAAAGTAGAATATATTCATATTCATATATTCATATTATATGAGATATAATGCAAGCGATTATACACGAGGATGAGGTTTGCGTCTCGAGCCGTCAAGCGAGAGACGTAAATTATCCGAGAGTAATACTATGCTTTTTCTACCCCAATTACATAAGTAATTTTCACTAATAACAGAATTTATTATAACCTCACTATCTTCAGATTTTAAAGATCATTATAGTCACCCCTCGTATATATAAAAAAATCTGACACCCCAGTAAATATTAAAGTCAGCCAATTACGTTGTTAGGTTGGGTAAGATAGTAAGATTGATAAATTTAGGAAAAAATACTAAAATAAAAAAAAACTTTTACATAATTTAAATTTTTAAAATACAAAAATATTGCTTTGAAATCCAAATATTATAACTTAAATTTAAAAAAAATAATAAATAAAAAACTATAATTAGGTATACAAAGATTTTATAAAATACCATGTCATTAGTCTTACTTTTTATTTTTATAAAAAAAGAAAAAATTCCTTAAAATTAATATAAAATCTTTTTTCAATATTTTTTATTTTTAGAATCCAAGCATCCCTGTTGTTACTAACGATTCTAATCTATGATAACGGCGCATCGTCAAGTTCCAGTTGTATTTGTTGGGAAGGGTACAAAGCCGAATATAATCAGAACGGAGCGCATTGTAGAGCTCATAATCAGTTTCACATAATGCCCTGTAACATGCCGAAAGCGCCGAAATGTCAGTGCTCAGGAAAAGCCAGCAGTATCTTAAAGGATCGCACTGGAACATGGTAATATAATATATTGTGTTTAGCTTGGCTAAAAAAAGGTTTTTAGATTCACAATTTTATAGTAAGAGGTTCTTTTGATGTATTATAGATTACAAAAGTCGCAAGATATAAAAAGAAAAAAGAATTTTCTCGATTCGCATTTGTTTAGGAGATATACCTATTTTTTCAATTTTTGCCAATTTTGACAAATGCTTGTAGCTTCGTTAATATTTGAGTTACGAATACAGGTTTAAAATATTTTGTAGGCACTTTTTATCATAGAATTCATTAGTGTAGACAGATTTTTAGCTCTTTTAGGTTAAGAGATATGACCCTATACGGACAACCAATTTGGGACACCCTGTACTCTATAAAAATGAATTAGTCAAAAATTACTAATTTATTAGTTATTAGTGGCTGCTTTTTCACTTGTACCATGGTTAACCATGGAATATCATGGTATCACAAAATTTAACAGCCAATTCTTATGTAAAATTGTCCCCTGAACCCGAAAATGTCGTCAAAAATTATGTGGATAAGTCGAGCAGTTTTGAGATATAGTCAATTCCATATTAAATGCAAAATTGACTATATCTCAAAAACTGGTCTACTTTTTTAACTTTTGGGGACATTTTCGGATTCAGGGGACAATTTTACATAAGAATTGCCTGTTAAATTTTGGTATTTCATGGTACAAGTGAAAAAGCAGCCACTAATAACTATTAAATTAATCATTTTTGACTAATTCATTTTTAGAGAGTATTATTGACAAAATTTGCAGTTTTCCAAAAAAAAAAATTGTATTCCTCTTTGATCAATTTTTTAAGAACACTAATTGTTAAAATTTAAAATGATTTTTAAGTTTTTTAACAGAAGATTTATGTTGGCATTTTTTAAATTTTTAAGGTGCACACGATACAGAAAAGGCGAAGAACTAACAAGATGGCCGTGCGAAAACACCAAGGAATGGGACGATTTCTTCAAGAAAAACCCCGACTTCATCTAACAAATCCTTTATTTATTATAACTTATAGCAAAGTAATCTGAATAAATTTTTAATTGATCTGCAATCTATACTGAGGATATTCCTTCAACCAAGCATCCCACTCAGCTTCAGGTTTGCAGGACAAACTGACATACTTTCCAGCCAATCCTGTGCAGGCTGTTTCACCCAAATCTAACACGACATCTTTTTTGGTGGCTTCATCTACGCAGGTACATGTCGGTGGTTTTTTAGTGTCGCATGGGAAGATTCTGTGGTTTTTAGTACCTCTGCAGTGTACGTCGTCGCCTTCTTTTTCAGCTTCAAAACCTTCCCAACATTTGCAGTTCTCAATTGTAGCTGACAGGGTCACAGCTAGCACTGAAGCTAGAACCACGATCACAAGAAAATATTTCCTAAAACAAGATTTTATAAAAATGTTTAAGAAAACAATTATCTATATTTCGCTTAATTTAAAAATTAAACAAATATTTTTTGTACTTACATTTTGGGTTTAGTTTTAGATACGAACTATGTATCACAGCAACTCTTCTTTCTTTTATACCTTCTAAAAAATAAAGTAAACACAGTTTAATGTGTGTTTAACCTTGGCAATGATAATTAAAGTTTCGCACTGTGTTGCAAAATCTTTTTTTGAGTACATAACATTGGATACAAAATATAGAAAATATTATAGGACCAGGATTGAAATATTTATTTTATATAAAAAATGCAAAAAGAATAATATATAAAAGTTATTTACGTAATTAGGGTAAAAAGTGAGTCCAATAGCATACAACATTTTATCTTTAATGCACAATTTTATTTGTTAAACGATACATACAATTATAGATAATAATAATTATTAAAAGTAGAAAGTGAGTGATAGAATTTTTTAATTTGTCCACTCTCTAAAAATGAATTAGTCAAAAATGACTAATTTAATAGTTATTAGTGGCTGCTTTTTCACTTATACCATGGTTAACCATGGAATACCATGGTATCCAGAAAATTTAACAGCCAATTCTTATGTAAAATTGTTCCGTGAATCCGAAAATACCGTCAAAAATTATAAAAGTGGAGCAGTTTTTGAGATATAGTGAATTTCATATTAAATGAAAAATTGACCATATTTTTTATAGTTTTACTTTTGACGACATTTTTTGATCCAGGGGAAAATTTTATAAATGAATTGTGTGTTAAATTTTGGGATACCATGGTATCCCATGGTTAACCATGGTACGAGTGAAAAAGCAGTCATTATAATGACTATTAAATTAGTAATTTTTGACTAATTCATTTTTAGAGAGCAAACTGGGTTTTTACAGCGTAGGAGGTAAAAAAAAACTTTGGACGTTAGATTAGTCTAAATTATTTTTACATCCTAGGCAATAATCAATTATTTATGTAAGTACTGAGTGTTGACAATAATCAAGTTTAAATTATAAAATGCTATGCTATTTTTAAGTAAAACTATATTTAATTGTGTGCTTAAAATACAAATTTGACAAGTTTTTTTTTTAAATGTGTAACTTTTATGAAAATTTTAATATGAGTAAATAAATTCTTTTATATCTAAGCGGTCTATATATAAAACTATATTAACGTCAACACTTAACACTAACGTGATTGTGGTATAGGCACATAATAAATTATTACGGGCTAGTTATTAGATGTTAGCTACAGTCATTGGCCAATTTCTTCATTCTGTCAGACATTTTAACAAATAAAATTGGCTTTAAATTTTGAAAAACATTACAACTTAAAGATAAATATATGTTGTAGTATCATGGCTCAAACTTAAATTTTGACCTTAGCAATTGCTTTTAAATATTTTTAAAATCGGTTTTCCACATTGTGCAAATGCAAGCATCAATAAAGGATATATTTATATTTTTAAAGATTATTTTCTCCCCACTAACTATTATATGATGTGTTATTGTAAACAAACAATTAAGATATTATATAACATCTACATATGTAATGCAATATTCATTTAATTTATTTATTGCGGTTTCTTTCCTCTATTTTTACTAGATAGTAATCAAATATTATGCTTATTTAATCATTTAATAACTATTAAGTGAATTTTTTTTATTGACAATTTTATATCTTTTAAGGTATTCAAATTTATATATACCGGGTGAGCACAATGTATATTATACATATTATAGTGCTATCTAGTAAAGCAATGAACAAAGACTTTGTTACAAAGTTAAACAACATTAAAATAATGCAAAATAGTTTTCTGCACAACTGCTGAAAACTAGGAATTTAGCAATAAATGCAATAAATACGTCTGATATCAGGGTGTCATGTAATAAGTGTTCATACTTTGAGGGGATGGATGATGCTTTACGCCAAAGTAAGCCAGTTGTTTACATTACTAGATGAGAAAGTTTACTTTTAGATGCAAGGTGTTTTTTAATGGCCTATAGGGAAAACGTGCGTAGCCAAAGCCATTCAAAAACTGTGAGCATCTGAAAAGGCAAACCTTTGCAGAGTCTTGTAACACTAAAACACCTTCCAGAAGCATAGTGTTATAGTATTAGATGTAAGTGAAGTGTCTTGCATTGACGAAATGAAAAATTAAAAATATGTTACTGTAAGTACTTACCCAAAAAATTAATGAGAATTAATGATTTGAGTTGAATTTTCAGCACAGACTAAATGATGGATTTAAGGAGTACAATATTTTGAATGTTTTTTTTAAGAACCATGTGATTGATTTATTTAGGGTGCTTCAAAAAAAATTTAATTGTTTTTTCTCGCTCTTACCCTCTCAAATGTTTCTATTTAATATAAAAAAATCCTCACCAAATATGTGCGTCCCAGATCAACTCTATGAGGTCGCTATTTTATTTTAGTTTCCCATTTAATTAACATGGGAAAAAATAATGTTATGTTTAGAATTTTATATCCCTGTATCAAACTAAGTTATGGCAATGATCTTTGCAGTTTCTTATACAATGTATAAAATGTTACGCTCTACAAAAAAGGTCTCTTATTATTTGAAAATTCGAAGTCAAAGTTTGATTAACATCAAATTTTCTGGGTTTTTTCATTTTATGGTACCTTCAATTAGCAGACGGGAGGTGAAAGGGGGCAAAACAAGGCAGCGGGGGGGGGGGGGGCAAAATGGGGTACCCAAAAAATTTCTTAAAAAAATTTTTTTTTTATTGTTTTTTTTCGGTTTCTAAATTATTTAAAAATATATTGACTCACGATTTTAATCGAAAATAATTATTCTGAGCCTGTAGAGCAAGAAAAAGTAAGGTACAAATTTGGAAAAATGTTCCATGGAATTTTTTTTCGGATTGTATGCACTAGGGTGCTTCAAAAAAAAAAATATTTTTTTTTCAACTCTTGAAAATGTTGGGGATTGATAAAATTTTTTTTTTTTTAAAGCACCCTAGTTTGCATACAATCCGAAAAAAAAGTTCGATGGAGAAGTTTTCCAAATTTTTCTTGCTCTACAGGCTCAGAACAATTATTTTCGATGAAAGGCGTGAACTTGTGATTTAATATATATTTTCAAATGATTTAGAAACCAAAAAAAAACAATTTAAAAAAAAAATTAAGAAATTTTTTTTCGGATTGTATGCACTAGGGTGCTTCAAAAAAAATTAATTTTTTTTTCAACTCTTGAAAATGTTGGTGATTGATAAAAAAAAATTTTTTTTTAAGCACCCTAGTTTGCATACAATCAGAAAAAAAAGTTCGATGGAGAAGTTTTCCAAATTTTTCTTGCTCTACAGGCTCAGAACAATTATTTTCGATTAAAGGCGTGAACTTGTGAGTCAATATATTTTCAAATGATTTAGAAACCAAAAATAAAAATTTAAAAAAAAATTAAGAAATTTTTTGGGTACCTCATTTTGCCCCCCCTCCCCGCTGCTTTGTTTTGCCCCCTTTCACCACCCGTCTGCTAATTGTACCATAAAATTAAAAAAAAAAACAGAAAATTTGATGTTAATCAAAGTTTGACCACGAATAACTCTAGAAAAAATCAATTTATCGAAAAATAATAAGAGACGTTTTTTGTAGAGCGTAACATTTTATATAAGAAACTGCAATGATTATTGCCATAAGTTACTTTGATACAGGGGTATAAAATTCCAAACATAAAATTTTACATTTACTTTGATACAGAGATATAAAATTCCAAACATAAAATTATTTTGTCCCATGTTAATTAAATCGGAAACTAAAATAAAAACAGCGACCTCTTAGAGTTAAGCTGGAACGCCCATATTTGGTGAGGATTTTTTTATATTAAATAGAAACATTTGAGAGGGTAAGAGCGAAAAAAACAATTAAAAATTTTTTTTGAAGCACCCTACTATACACATACAATATGTTTTGAAAAGTAAAATAAAAAATACTTTTATACACTTGATTATATAATATATAGTATAGGTAGCAAGAATAACATAAAGGTGTCTCTAATTACTAAGACAAGTAGAACAAACGGGCTGTGGAGTGAGGACTTTGTAACAAATTAGCTGTGCAATAGAAATGCTTGACAATCCTTCTGATTGACAATAAGAAAACTTGGCCAATTAAATAAAAACTTGCGAAAAGTTGGTAATTGAAGCTGAAGCTGCAGCAGCTGAAAGCAAACAACCTCCAAGAGTACACCTATACATGAATATTCAGAGTGACGAAATTCGAAATTTCCTTTCCTTGGCAGCTCGAAGGATTTCTATCAGCCAAAGTTTTCCATTGTGTTAGTAATTTTCCATTTTGAAAGGTAAACTCTGGAAAATTATTCATACTTCATACGGTTTTATTTGCGCGATTCTGTGCGTTCCTTACGAAGGAAAACGAACTATTATGAGATTTGTAATTTCGAAGCGAAACTTTCGAATAATAGGGCCGACGTGATAAAATTACTTCTTGTTGGTTCTATTCATAAGAAATTTTAGAAACAAATATTCTTTTTATTATTTCGGTACTGTTAAATTTACAAAAAAGATATACAATACAAAAAACGAAAAACATTTTATTATTGCACTGCAGTTAACTGGTCAGCAGCCACTTTGCGGCAGGGTAGCCAACAACTTTTGTAGGGTAATTTAAGTATCATTGTATTATGCACAAATATTTAATTACATTTAAGTGTTTTAGCATATTTATTGATTTTAATGAAACTTGCAATCTATTTTTTGTCTACTTATTAATAAATATTATTATTATTATTGTGCATATTGTAAATTCATTCATAGTATTACGATTCAGTGCACCCAAATTACCCTAGAAAAGTTTTTGGCTAACATAGCATTATTATCTACATTAAAATCATAAAAACTAAATCAATTAGAAATAAAACCTTCTAGATAATATATTTTTCAGTACAACTTATTTATAACTTATTGTATTACATAATAATAAGACATAACAATAACAAAGTTATAACGATCGAAAAGCCATCTACATTATTAATTAAACTAATTAATGATGCAAGTAAAACTCATTGTTCTGAGTATTTCCATTTATATTATAATAATAAGGGTATTTATATGTTCTTATATCATATAAATACATCCAGTCACATCTTAAATTTCCAGTAGGTATTGTTAAAGCAAGAAACAATAATGTAAGTATAAGAACAGTTTTTTAGTTTTGTATTGTAGAGATTTTATAAAAAATATTTAAATTTTAAACACATTTTTAATTTAAAGTTTTTAAATATTAGTCTTCACTACTAACGTGAAAATATCCTGAAAACTTGAAGTTAAATTTCACGACCATTTCAATTAATTTTATATACTCCTACATTGACGAGCTATGACTTTATGGCGTTTTAGTCACGGACTGAAGTTAACAACAGTGGCTTTTCGACATTTTAGTCACGGGCTGAAGTTAACTTTATAAATTGGGAAAAAGTGAGGTTAAATTCGGGTGACAGTTGACAGAAATCAAGGTTTTAATAAATAAAATTGGCTTTAAATTCTGTTTTGTGTTCGTCGTAGATAAAGTATAGTATGCAACTCGTTTATAAACTTCTCTAGACACTCGTTTTTATTAAACACTCGCTCGCAAGCTTCCCTCGTGCTTAATTAAATTCGTAACTAAAATGGCGTTTAAAAAACTGGATACACAATATACTATTTTACATATTTTTGACAGTTTTGATTGACAATCTAATTTTTTTTTTAAATAATAGTAGTATTTTAAAAATTTTAACAAATTGTAGTTAAATAATCTAACAAAAATATACTTTATGAGCCTACAAGCCTAGATAACTTAACAGAATAAATGTTTGTAAATACGGACGCTCCAAAGACTGTTCAGTAAAAGTACTTGTATATTATTGGACGCCATGTACGCGGCGAAATGAACGGACGCTCAGTTGAGATTAAAGTGAAAGTAATAATTTACACTTTAAAACGAAACAAATTCGGTTAAAATCACACAATAAATAAAGATTTGACTGGGGTGAGTAGCAAACAAATGGGTCAAACTTTATACATATTTAATTCAAAAACCACTTTCACGTTCCGCCGATCTTTTATCCAGTTCGCTCTTAACAAAATAAAAGTATACTCCAACTGCTTGTGGGTTAGATCTGATGTAATACTTGGATTAAAATAAATTATGCTATCTTTTCCAAGCATGCCATGCCGATCCTGTCTTTAATCTTATTTTGATCTGTTGGTTGAAGCATCATATTTTTCAAGTCTTATTGGATGATATACTTCTGTATATACGAGGTGTGTTCAGAAAATAACGGGAATTGTTAAATTTTGCGGGTTCAGAGGGTCCGGTTGTCATAAAATTTTCTTTATTATGTTGGTATACATGCCCCCGAAGTATGATAAAAACTTTAGCTGTTTTCATTGTTTACTTTGTCTGTGGCAGCCGCTAAGGTTAGACGTGTTTTATGAGCTCGGCGATTTTTCATTCGTTAAAAGAAATGGATCAAAGAATTTATATCCAATTTTGCTTAAAAAATTAAATAAATTCTGTGAAATGTTAACAAAGGCCTATAGTGAGTCTGCTATAAGAAAAACAAGAGTTTACAAGTGGTATAAGAGTTTCCAAGATGGCCGTGAAGACGTTGGAGATGACGAACGCCCAGAACGCACAAGCACATTAACAACCGATAAAAACATGGAAAAAGAGGAAGAAATGGTTATAAACCATCAGAGAAGTCGCTGATGATGTTGGTATATCGATTGGCTCATTCCATGAAATTTTTTCGAATGTTTTGGGTATGAAACGCGTGGCAGCAAAATTTGTTCTGAAATTGTTAAATTTTGAACAAAATTTTTGGCCAAAAACAATACTGTAATGATGCCCCAGCCTCCATATTCGCCAGACATGCCTCTGTCTGACTTTTTCCTATTCCCAAAAATAAAGAGAACCTTAAAGGGGCGTCGTTTTGCAAGCATAGATGACATTAAAAGCGCATCGCTGAAAGAACTAAAGGCTATCCCAAAGATCGAGTTTTAGAAGTGTTTCGAGTATTGGAAGAAGAGCTGGCACATGTGCATAATATCCAATGGGGAGGACTATTTTGAAGGCGACAACATTAATGTAGACGAATAAATAATTATTTATTTCAAAAAACGAAAATTCCCGATATTTTCTGAACACACCTCGTATTGATGATAATATTTAATGTACAGCATTGTTGACTGCTTGCTTTCTGTCACTGTCCTTATAAATAAGTAAATTTTTTTCATTGACCTCCTAAACAATTTTCTCCTTACAATCCTTTCGTTCCTTTACTTTTTTTCTAAATTGCTCTATTTCGCCTTTAATAGTATATTCAGTAACAAGTTTGGAATACAGCATATTCCGTTCTAGTAAAAAGTTTGACGGTTTCACGAAGGCGGAATATGTACCTAATTCCAAACGTGTTTCAGACTATACTTTTTCGAAGTTTCCAAAAAATACAATAGAAAGATAATTTAATTGAGAGAAAGTGAGGTTGGATTGGTCTAAATTTGTTAGATATTAAACACAGAGATGTTGGCACCAGTATTTATTCCGTCATCAGATGATAATAATTCATTCTGTAATACTTTCAGGAATATATGTCATTCCACATTAAAACGTGATATAAGAACGGTCAAATTCCGTAATAGGAGTAGAAAAAAGTATTATTAATAAGCTGTAAATCATTATTGACGTCCGTAAAACTTTAAAACTGTTATTTTTAGGAAATACCTCTACATGGTAATCTTTCTCTCATCAGCTCTAATTTCGCTCGCATCGTCCCAAGAGACTTGCAAATGTTGGGACGGATGGACCCCCGAAACAGACGACCAAGGTGATCGATGCGTCGGCCCAGAGGAGGATCAATTTTTCCCCTGCAACACCGAAAAACCGCCCTCGTGCGTTTGCAAGGACAAAGCGACAGGCAAGGACGAAGTCCAAAAACCCGGTGTCACCTACTGCGGCGGCTACAACCACGAGTCACTGTCCTGCGGTCCCATGGGCCAATGGGAGGCATATTTCAGCAAATATCCGCAGTTTAGGCTGCAAGTGGATCCGGCGTTGCCACAGGATCTAACCCCTCCATTGCAAAATAATTAATATAGGTATTTGTTGGAATGAACATTGTATAAAACCTTCCAAATAAAATTGACTTTTTAAAAGCAGGTTTTTTCGTAATAAATTATGCACTATCATATCTAGTTATCCGGAAGATTGAAGTTTCATTTGTCAATTTATTTTCAGCGCTACGACGTTTTTACTGTCACTTTTTACGACCCAGTCATCTGAATTTTGTTAAAATATTTTGTTGTAAAACTAAGAAATCAATATTTGTTTAATCATCTTTGTTCAACTGGACATCTCTGGTGAACTTATCAAACTTCGGCAGTGGAATAGTTAAGCGAGCGAAAGGGTGGCAGTTTAGTGTACCGCCCCCCTGTGCTTCGCCAATTATTCTGGGGACTGACCGACCGCCGCTTGCCGCCCCTTTCAAGTTTAACTGACCGGCTTAACTGATGCCCATACTTCTCTCCCTCGTTTCTCTTCTAGCCTAACGATTTACTTGATTCAATTAACTATTTAGATTCGAATTTGGTGGGTGATAGATCGATCGATGAAAGGTTAAAAGGTGATTTTAGAATCAAATGGTTTTGAGGCTCAATTTAATTTTTTTTAAACAAAATAAATTATTACCTTCTAAACCTGTTTAAAAAACACATAATATAATGATTTAAACTTAAAAATAAGTACTGCCACTGAGCAACTAAGTGGGTTTTATGATATTTTTTTTCTCACACCTTCAAAACACACATTATTATTATTACTTTGGACAATTTAACAGTTGACACATGATTGATTTTCATTTTATTACATTTGTTACACAAAAACCTGAATTAAAAAACTTAAAAAAATGATTTAAACGTGACAACATTGCGAGTTGTTGATAGTTGGTTTTTATGGTACATAACGCTTTTCGCTTTTGACAGTGGCAGTGAGAGTTCTATATGCAGTGTTATTTAAAATATATAAAATGACTTGTGAAAACTAATGCAGTCAACTACAAAGAAAAAATATGAAAAAAAAAGGTATGGGAACAAAATATAAAGCAAAAGAAAACATGCAGTATGTTGAGTGCAACGAAAGTCTAAAGAGAAGAGCAGAAAACCATAGAAGGTAGAAAAAAACGTTTAAATATTAAAAAAATAACTTAAAGAAAATAACTTTATACAATTGTGTTTTTTTTTCAAATATTTTACTTAAAAAACGAAATTATGGACCATATTAAACGAAATGTCCCCAGATAATCGTGTTCGTTATCCAGTGTTTCCGGATCTTCTAGACGAGCATTGATATGACACAGTCAAAATATTCATTTATTATTGTAAAGCTGTGCGGTAAAAGTTAACAAACATTTATAGGGCACTTCTACAGGCATAAAAATAGCTATTTACATACCATGGGAGGAAAATATTGCATTTCCTCCCGCGAATAGTTTGATGCCCGACGCGAAGCGAAGGGCATTAAATATTCAAGGGAGGAAATGCATTTTCCTCCTGAGGTATGTATATAGTTTTTTCTATTACCTTTTAACGGTTTTAAGACATTTTAAGCGTTCCGGTTCCTTTTACTTACCCGGTATGGGGCTATAAAATTATGACAAAATATTAAGTAGGTTTTGCGTCGCCGACGTTATGTTGACAACGCTTTGTTGCTATGGTATTTTTGGTAATACCAACATAACAGTTTTTATAAGCTGTCATAATGTTTATCATAAATTTAATAGTTGCAATTAATTTCCTTCCTTAAAAATCTAAAATAGTGAATATGAATATAGTTTGTTAAAAGAATGTTAAAAGAATGGTTGGACAAGCGCGGAGTAAATCTTTTTCCTACAAAATCAAATAAAGCTAGACAAGGTACAAAAACTCTTGCCAATATAAAATTTAAAAAAAAAGAGGGAGGAAATTTTTTTTCCTCCCGGGGAGGAAAAGAGGCATTTTCCTCCCTCGCTCGGGGGTGGAAAAATAAGTTTCTAGTAAGGTAGTAGAAAAAAATATTTTTTTACTCGGAATCTAAAACTTTGTAAATGTCTTTTAAGTAGACTCTAAGTAATACAACCTGGAATTGTTTTATCCTTTTCTCATAGCGACTAATATCGTGCCCCAATCTCCTTAAGGTAGTATCTTCATTTTAAGAGTTTGATAAATAAGTAACAGTAGGCCGTGAGCAAATTCAGCGGTGCCAATGTAGTAAAAATAAAACGATGGTTTTTTAAATAACAAATTACTAATTTATTAAAAATTAAAGTATCATTAAAAACTCATATTTTTTATTTTTACCATTTAAGAAAGTGCTAAAAACATCCATCAACATATTATGTTATGTGATAATTTATTAATTATCTTTTATTGCTCAAGTTAGACGAATTTTTGAAAGAATCCATGGAAAATATACTTGTGCAAACATGTTCTTTTCCACAGATTTTACATAGATAAATAAACTCGATAAACAAAATAGGATCATGTTGGTAGCTTAAAAATTCATTATTATAGTTTATTTTTTATGCAAAATTCATGAGCGAGCTAAAAATTATTTGTAAATGTGTCTACTCTCCAAAAATGAAGAAGTCAAAAATGACTAATTTAATAGTTATTAGTGGCTGCTGCTTTTTCACTTGTACCATGGTTAAACATGGTATCCCAAAATTTAACAGCCAATTCTTATGTAAAATTGTCCCCTGAATCCGAAAATGTCGTCAAAGGTTAAAAAAGTAGAACAGTTTTTGAGATATAGTCAATTTTCCATTTAATATGAAATAGACTATATCTCAAAAACTGCTCCACTTTCATAATTATTGACGGTATTTTAGGATTCATGGGACAATTTTATATAGGAATTGGCTGTCAGCCACTAATAACTATTAAATTGGTCATTTTTGACTAATTCATGTTTAGAGAGTAATGCCTTACAAAATAGTATAGACATTCTATGAAAACCTCAACTGAAGATACTCCTTAATGGTTAACCATTAAGGAGTATCTTCAGTTGAGGTTTTCATAGAATGTCTATAATATAATATAATATATATATATAATATAAATTTTATAACAAGTAAAAAGGTTGAAATCAACTTAAGGTAAAAAACATATCTTTCTTAAAATAAAAACATAACCAATTTTAAGAAGAAAGAAAGGACGACCTTTTAAGACTCTTATGACTTTTCATGTTTAAATTTTTAATGCAAGAGAACTTTTACATATTCCGTTAAAAATGCAGCTGCACAGAACATTATCAATTATTAAAACAAATTTAATGACTTCGCTAAAACTAAAGTTTTTATAAGTCTGAATTGCTTTATATATAAATATATATATATATATATATATATATATATATATATATATACGAGGTGTGTTTAAAAAATATCGGGAATTTTCGTTTTTTGAAACAAATATTTATTTATTCGTCTACATTAATGTTGTCGCCTTCAAAATAGTGCCCATTGGATATTATGCACATGTGCCAGCTCTTCTTCCAATACTCGAAACACTTCTCTCGATCTTTGAGATAGCCTTTAGTTCTTTCAGCGATGCGCTTTTAATATCATTTATGCTTGCAAAACGACGGCCCTTTAAGGTTCTCTTTATTTTTGGGAATAGGAAAAAGTCAGACAGAGGCAAGTCTAGCGAACATGAAGGCTGAGGCATCATTACAGTATTGTTTTTGGCCAAAAATTTTGTTCCAAATTTAACAATTTTGGAATAAATTTTGCTGCCACGCGTTTCATACCCAAAACATTCGAAAAAATTTCATGGGATGAGCCAATCGATATACCAACATCATCAGCGACTTCTTTGATGGTTTATAACCATTTCTTCCACTTTTTCCATGTTTTTATCAGTTGTTAATGTGCTTGTGCGTTCGGGGCGTTCGTCATCTTCAACGTCTTCACGGCCATCTTGGAAACTCTTGTACCACTTGGAAACTCTTATACCACTTGGAAACTCTTGTTTTACTTATAGCAGACTCACTATAGGCCTTTATTAACAATTTACAAAATTTATTTAATTTTTTAAGCAAAATATCTTTTAACGAACGAAAATCGCCGAGCTCATAAAACACGTTCAACATTAGCGGCTGCCACAGACAAAGTAAACAATTAAAACAGCTAAAGTTTTTATCATACTTCGGGGGCATGTATACCAACATAATAAAGAAAATTTTATGACAACCGGACCCTCCGAATCCGCGAAATTTAACGATTCCCGTTATTTTCTGAACACACCTCGTATATAACGACTTAATCAACTTAATATTGATAAATTTGTATTAAGTATTTAAATTTGTAATCTATTAAGTATAAAATAACTAAAAGTGGGGTGACAATAATGCATGTCAGTGACAGTTGCCATTGTGACATATTTACAGCATGGATGTTAATTTTGGACAGCAAAAACGTAGGTATGCTTTTTATACATCTAAAATTTAAATATTTAGTTATGTAAAACTTGACAACACAACATGGCTTTTAATGCTTTTTGTTTATTTGGACATCACATTTGAAATTTTTAATAAACAAGTACACATCAGTTGCGATGACGCAATATTTCCATGTTAATCCGCTGTGTGCCATATGTGGCAACATCTGCTTTTTGAATTGATTCAACATGCACGTTTCACGGAATTTTATGTTCATAAGCTCTCGTAAATATTTGAAATGAAAAATATTGCATGAAAATTTACCACAACCAAATGTATCCGCTTTTTTATTACCTACCTACTGCTACTGCATATTTACTTTGTTTTGTTTTGACTTTCCTTTTATTTACTTTTTTTTGTTATTGGCTAATGGGTGTGGTGGCCGATTTTATGTTATATTTTTAATTTATATTAAAATTATATATTTATTTATAATGTTATATTACGTTCCTTTTTAAATTTTATTTTTTTTTTTAAAGAATATATTACCTTTTTTCTCATTAAAATAATCAACCATATTACATATTTATTATAATTATTATATTTATATTTTACTTTGACATAACATATTATATTGTAATGTAATATACCATTCTAGTACATATTTCTATATAATGTTAAATACTTTTTACAGTTTATCTTATTTTATTTATTTGATAAATTGAAATTCATTATTTAGTATGTTGAGACTTTGTTTCAAGTTCTGCATATCAAATGAGTTATTTAGTTAGG